GTACACATAATTTTGTTTTTGTGGAATGAATAAAGTTTGAAATAAAAACTAATAAATAAAAAAACATCGATATTGATTTCCCACTTTTTATCTTTGTGTTTGTGTTTTAGGAGGGGAGATGGTTGGGTGAGCAGCATCTGTTTGATCATGATAGTGATATTGATGCTGCGTAGCAGGAATAACTGAGTAGAGCCATGTCAGAGGTCTGGTCATATATTTACCGTATCAATAAAAGACCCAAGTGTTTGTGTGTTTATGTATAATTTGTGTGTTTTGTAATATCTGTAAATATTGGTTATTGGCCATAACAGCAATAACTATATCGGAAATCGATATCGGCTGAAATTTTCATATTGGTGCATCCCTACTTTTGTTTATAAAGATTTACGATGGTACGCAGTYACGGAAAATAAAGACGGTTTCAAGAGGCTCGTTCAGGTGGTCGAACCAAAACTACTGTATGTAAACATCTGACTGAAACTGTTCTCTCTGGCACGTAGAAACGTGTGAAAGACGACGTTCTAATAAAATCGGTTAGTTTTGTTACCAYTCTTATTTTTTTAAACGTAGAAACATGGAGAAAGAAACGTCTTGATGAAATTCACAGTGATGAAGTGTTGTAATTGTATCATTTTTTTAACATAACAGCAGAAGACAACAAACATTACAAATTTTCATACGCTCAAAAGGAGCTCAGAAGAATACTAACATTAGCCCAACTCTTCTCCAGAAACCTCATTCCCATCACTTCTTATTCACCAAGAAAATTTTTTAATTTTCTTAAAAATGAATGCATCCAACAACACTGTRAKTTTCAATTCCTTTTTAATTTAAAATCTTTGAAACTTAAGAGAGTTTTGCTTCAATTTACAAGTTTACCCTTAAAACTTGTTAGCGGTGAAGAGTAAAAATAATGTGAATTCTTTATTTTGCAACATAGTTGAACCAMTTATTATTTAAGAGTAGATCAAATTGAATTGTGATCAATCGATTCAGAACCTTATGAATTGTTTTAGAGAAGTGGTCATGATACCCAGTCCTATAAAACAAGGCTTTAGTGGGAAAACAACGCTCTACACCTACATGAAGAAAATGGGAGGGAACGTTCAGATACTTACGATAGCCGGAGCCAGAGCTGCCCTCATAGCTGTAGTTGGCTTTTAYGATAAAAGAAAAATAAATTATTTAGTTGCAGTCGTTTAAAAGGTCCTGCATTGACGAGGCTTGTGGAGTGTTAGTGTAAAATTTCTCACTCATGTTATAGCTTGGTCCTGGGGGAAAAGGTCCACCTTGGCCCCGGCCCCTGCCGCGGCCCCCTCTGTTGGGACCCCAGCCACGGGTCRCGGTGTCTGACGGAATGCCACGGATGATGCCAAATCCTGGGACGTGCTGTTGGAACAGGAAACAGTAAATAAATTAAAGTTTCAACTGCTCTATAAGTTGAATAACTGGAGGATAACTTGGAGAATAGTTACCATGTCAGTGTAAGTGGCCTTCTTCTTCTCAGGCTTGTCTTTGTCAGCCGAAGAGCTTCTGTTATTTGGGAACAGCTTCTCCAAAGCAGCGAGGGCAGCGTAGGCCTTCGCCTCCTTCTTATTGAGCCCTTTCCCTGTGAACATCTGACCATCGACCTCCACCTGAACAAACAGGAAAGGAAGGAAAAAGCTGAATTCTTCTTAGTTCTCCAGCTTCGTTTCTGAAACGTATTTCTGCTGACTCACCTGTATGACGAAGCACTTCAGACGGTTGAATCCTTTGTGTTTAATCACCTCGTACTTCAGTCCGCGGCGTTTCTCGTTCAGCTCCATCACGGGGTTTTTGCCGTTTTTAGTTAAGATGGGACCCTGACCATTCTGTTCACACACACACACACACACACACACACACACACACACACACACACACACACAC